CACAAAATAAAATCTCAGAACGAGAAGTAACCACAGTCGACAAAATAGCCCAAGCAGGTTATAAACAGAGGGCGACAAAAAAAGCAGATTACAAACCATGGAGACTCGTAACTCTTCCAGCCGCTGGTCGGAGCTCCCTATAAACATATTGAGATCTGTATTGGAACGTTTGAGTTTTGTGGATTTCCACTGGGCTAAGATCGTGTGTCCGAATTGGTACTTGTGTTCGAAACAAACGTTTCGACCAAAAGCCGGATTTCCATTGCTGATTGTGTTTCCAGAGGATAGTGATTGCGTGTTGTACAATCCAGACGAAGATAGGGTTTACAAGCCGAAAAATGACTTTTCAGGGTTTCGATTCCTTGCAAACTGTGGTAAGTGGTTCCTTGTGTTAGATCCTGGATTGAATCTCTCTATTATAGATTTGTTTAGCAAGACGAAGATCAATCTTCCACCTCTAGAGTCGATCGACGAAGGTGCCACTTATAGCCTTGAGAGAGTAAAAGAGAAAGATAAGGAATTGATGGAGAAAGTATGTATTCCAGATGATTTTGGTAGTCCTTATTGTGGACCTCGAACTGCGGAAGGTCTTAGAGGTCTTTTGTGGGTAGACGAGGACAAAGAAGAGTTAGAGTACGTTGTTGTGTGGCGCTTCGACAGTAGCCATTATATAGGGTCATTATGATTATCACCTTGGCACTCCAATATACTCCGGTATTGACAGGAAAAGTATTCGCTGGTAGTTAGTAGGCTTGGATGATATGGTACTCAAAGGAGAGATTCTTTACATCCTTACGCCCCGCAGTTACTTTCGAAGTCTTGATTTGTCTGGACAAGACGGTTTCAAGGATGTCTCCTACATGGTTCCAATGTATCAGCCACTTCTCACTGAAAGACAGCAAGCAACTAAGATCATCTCAAAAAGCGTCAAGATTGCTGTCACAAGATCAGGAGAAGTTTTGATGGTCGATATCCTTGTTTACGAGGACGCAACCTCTACAAGGCGTAGGATCTTCCGTCTCTCCAAGAGGGATCCTACTCTAGACCCGAATCTCGACTTCAACCTTTCTGAGGTGGATTCTCTAGGTGATGAGGCCCTTTTTCTGGATTCGGGTATCATCGTGCCTGCTGACCAAACCCTTGGTATCNAGCCAAACTCCATCTATTTCACCCGTGATGACCGTGTCCGCAGCAATAAACATACATGCCTCGACATCTGTGTGTACAATCTTACAAGAAAGACCCTCAAACGCTTCGACAGTCTCTCCAACGTAAACATCAAGGATGCTCTATGGTTTCTCCCCTCTTGATTTGTTTCCTTGTTGCATCTTTGTGTTCTTGACCCCATGGTTTTCTCTGCTTTGTTATCCTTTAAATCTTTTCATATATATAAATTATGACATAGCTTAGATTTAGGTTCCAGATTCAAATTTCTTTCTGCATGAGGATGACTTAAATCATAAAAATTGTGATCTAGCCTCTGATTGGAGCCAACCTCTTGAGCATATACGTAGGACGCAAGAAATTTCAGCTACAGCATAAATACAAGAGAGTCCATGCTATTTATTATGCACAAGTGAACTACGCAACAACACAAAATGTGGCCATAGTCTTTGTCTTTGTGAAATTTCGATCATACATAGTCTTCTACTTCTTACTCTGGTTTTGTTTGGTTTCTTCTCTACATTTCACTTTCTCTGGAGCGTTGGCTTATACTCTGTGAAATTTCTGTAGTGGGTGAGATGTTTCTTGTGTTTAGTTGCTTCATTGGTTTCTTGAGGATCTTTCTAACGTAATATTTTGTTCAGACTAGGATTCAGAAGATTATTCAAACTGATGAGGAAGTCGGGAAAATAGCACTTATGTCAAACAAGATGCAAGAACCTAGAAATCAATAGTAATCAAAGGATGTTTTTCGGGTATTCTACATCTACTGCCAAGCTCGATGGAAAAAATGACAATATTTCATAACATTGAAGATTACACAAAAGAAAAAGGAGTGGAACTAGG